AGGTCATGTAAACTGACAGGTCATGTAAACTGACAGGTCATGTAAACCGACAGGTCATGTAAACTGACAGAGGCACAAAACTTTTAAAACTGTGTTTTATATCAAAGTAATAAAAGTAGCTTCTGTTTTAGTTGTAAGATAAATGCACTTTGGTCTGGGCCACATTTGTTTTGATTAGCTTAATAACCAGAAAAGGATTAGAACCACGTTGTGTGAAAATGGTGTAAAATCTAAGTTGACATTTATAAGAGCAGAACAACAGATGAGTGAAGAGTTGTTTTCAGTCGACACGTTTCAGTGTCTAAAAACTAAACCTGCTGTGTAGCTGGATGAACAGAACCAGTGAAGAACTCAACATGCATCATGCAGAAAAGAGCAACAAGGACGGTGCACAACGTTTGGTGTCGTGAACACAAACTTTTTTGATCACACATTATGAAATGTGTGGATTTGGAACAATTGAAAACTGCACAGGTCATGTTCAAAACTAGAAACAAAATGCTTCCAAAGAATATTCCAAACTTACTCAAGAACAGAGGGGAAAGGCACGAACGGAGGAAAATATAATTTAATCTGCCCCGTGTTGGCAGCACGCTCAGCGCACGCTCAGCGCACGTGCACATCAGTTCATGGAGTGATTCTGTGCAACGACTCAGCAAAGTAAAAATACTGCGCAAATCAAGAGAAAATACAAGGATTACAAAACCTGATGAGACAGAATGACGTTACTCCAGCTGTTGTTAATCTGTGTTTGCATATTAATCTTTAATCTGTATCTGCAGGTATATAAATGTACGTAGGTAAACGTAGCCATGTCTGCGTGTATACAGTTCTATATGGGCGTTTACGTTTTTATACTTTTATTGAATCAATAGTTTAAGAATTTGTAAACTTCAGGACTGGATAAGATTTTTGTTTGCAGAATGTTCTGGTGGGAATATTTGTTATGTTGATATTTTACCTGTTCAGAACATAAAGAGCGTGTCCTTTGATGTTTCCAGCTCCTGATTATTGAAGCTTTTTGAAGCGTTTGTACAAATGAAAGGTGACGGGAGGTCCAGGTCCGACTGCTCACTCGTATGAGAAAAGTGATGAACACAACACGAACTGCCACAACACTTTTATTTCATGCTTGCTCTTACATGTCAAATTGTTTCATAATTTTATGTACAAGTAATTTGCTCCCAGGGTAAAGAAAACGTTCAGTGCAGGAAGAAAACGGAGAAGGCAACAAAGTAAAAAAAGCACAAAAAGAAAAGGCTTAAAATAAAAAAGTATAATCTGGATTTTAAAGATCTGAATTTGACATCTACATAGAATCACCAGCAATTTACAGCTCTGCACAAAACTCTTGTTTTCTGTTCCAAGACCAGTTTATTAATTATCGTCCTTGTTGTTTAAAACTCAGTTCTTCAGGTTTGCATTTTATTTTTGGTGAACTCTTTCAGAGGAAGTCCCGACACGTTCTAGGGGTAAGAACTTGTCACTGGAGATAAACAAGAGCTGCCTGGACGACTGGACCTGTAGCAGACGGAGCACACTTTCACTGCATCCGTGCGCCGCTTGTTGTAAAACAAAACACGTCCTCCAAATTCTTTAGCTCAAACAAAAATATATATATTTTATATAATTTTGAGGAAACTACAGGTACAATGGAAAGTCCCAGACCAAAGACCCATCAACACCAAATTATATCCTGAAAACAAAAAGACGAATCAAAGTCCTGAAACAGAACCACGGCCTCGTTAGAACCGGCTTTAATAAGAACGTGAGCGTCACTCGTTCAGGAGGCACAGAGGAAGAACGGATAAATCACAAAAACTGAAATTCTAATCATTTGGTTAAAAAGATACAGGTTCAGGTTCATGTGTTGGGCATGGAGGCGGCTGCATCATGGTTTGTTGGCTGCGTTTCAGTCAGAAATCAATGAAATGAAGAGACAAACCTCCGTCAAACAGCACGATGGAAGTGCTTTGGTAATTCCATCTTTTTACTGCCACTTCTGTTTTAAAGGATTAAATAAATTAATTTGAAATAATCACCATCAGTCATCGACTACGCTCCAGATCTAAACAAAACTGAACACGAGCGTTGAAACATTTCAGGAAACCTGCACAAATATTCTTAAGTTTATGTTTTTATGAAGGGTGTTTGAAAAAATGTACAAAGGAGTGAACTGTCAACGTTAAAGCAGTTTAGTAACAACTGCTGTTTATGTTTATGTGCTTCATAAATAAATCGGACTGGACTCATTACAAACTCTTTTGTCTCGTCACGCTCAGGCAATTAATCATTTCTAATGTTTATAACAACAAAGAGACTTGTGAGAGTACTGGGTGGTCAAAGATCAACTGGAAATGTTTCGGTTGAACGACAGCGCCCTCTGGTGGGCTGGCTGCAAACACCCAGTCCTTCCAGTAGACTGGACTCTGTCTCATTTCACACACAGTCTGGAAACACGCAGGACTTTCTTTAAAAACCCATTTCAAGTTGCACAACTGTCATGATTAGATCACACTGTAGTCTCGGTTGGTGTGTGTGCAGCCTGAGATGTTCAAGTTCCGTCTCGCTGCTTTAACTCTTCCACACCACGGACGCACAAACAACTGGATCATTGTCGGGAACATTGGAGGAACTCGAAGCTGCTGCCTTTCATAAAACTACAACTGCACTTTGGCATTAAAACTAGTTCACAGGCCCTGCTTCACATACCCATCCATGCATCCATCCATCCATGCATCCATGCATCCATCCATGCATCCATCCATCTTTACCTGCTTGTTCCTTTTCGGGTGATGGGGGTCACTGTGCAAGAGGGGGGGACATCCCGGACAGGTGGCAAGTCCACCACAGGGCCTACTTTATCCTTTGTGTTTAAATAAGGCAACACTTGTGTCGAGGTACCACAACAAAATGAAGTGAACGGGTCAGAGGAACCAAGGAGACACTCGGGTGTAAAACCTGATGTTCTGACGCTGCAGTCAAATGAGTCCACACAAACGAGCACTGCCGTGTCTTTAGAATAGGAACATACGTGGGGGAGGACCGTGTTCACACACTCGAGGCTCATGAGCCACAAACTGTGCGAGCCAGGACCACGTCCATCATTTGAGAAACGTTGGGACCAAAGGAAGGAGGAAAATGTTGCAGCGACCGCTGCTCGTTGCCACCCAGCATGCACCACGGCCCCTTCTTTACAGTCCAAGGGCCACGATGTTGGTTTCTTTACACATTTATAGGGTTTGGGGGGTCACAGGTCACGGTCTTCTTTATTTCATGTATGAAGATAAGTCAGTAAAAAATAAAAAGCCTCAAACAAACCAACCCAAGAGCGATGACCTCACGTTGGATGCAGCCGCTCGCACGAGAACAAAGACGCTCCGATGTGAGCTCATCGTGCAAAAACCAGCAACCCTCGTGCACCCTGACCCCCTCGTGCACCCTGACCCCCTCGTGCACCCTGACCCCCTCGTGCACCCTGACCCCCACAGGCTCTTGGTGCATCATAAGTGAGTTTTAAATTATTTTTCTGCTTTTAGAAAGTGAACAGGTCAGACTGGTTTACTGAGCTCTGCCAGTTTAAACTTCTGGTCGTTGGACTGTAAAGCTGCAGTTTTCCCAGCGCAGACACAGCAGACATGTTTTAATGCAGGTGATCTCTAATCTTTGTTGTATTTGTCAGAAGAGGACCCGCGCAGGTAATGCTTGCAGGGTGACGGTTTGTTAAACGACTAAAAGAAGAACCGCAGCGCTTCCTGTGAGATCGATGAGCTGTCAGCCATCCCAGCCTTTGTTTCCATTTCAGTCCAGTTAAAGTTGCTGGGCCCCACCAGGGCAAAAATAATTACACACTATTGATTCCTGAATGGTTCTGGTCTACACTTCCTGTGACGACTAACACTTTGGCAAGTCCAGCACTGCGGGGCTCGTGCAAACACACAAGATACATTAGAAAAATAACATTTTCTTTAGCTCAACTTTTCAACCTCTAAAATATAGATACAATCTTTAAATAAGGACTTGGAGAACATCACAGAGCTCGTTACCGGTCTGCTCTTTGTCACAAACTGTCAGTGAAGCGTAACAGCTGAAGGTGCCACTCTGTGCACGGATTAAAGGCGGTTTATGATCACGACATAAGAAGCACTGTGGTTTCTGTAACAGTTCCTGGTCCACCCACACGCTGGATCAATCACCTCTACATCAACACTAAAGGAAGTAATATCAACTTTTTCCTATTGCTTTTAGTTATATTTCATTTTTAAAATGCTTTTTTATTCTCTTTACACTCATTCAGCCCTCTGAAGCCCAAACCACCCCCTCTGTAATCCTCCACCTGATGAAGCAGTCCTCCTCAGCCTGAAGCTTCCTCGGGGGCCGTGGGTCTCTTCAGGTCCCGGATCTGCTTCACCAGATAGTTCTTCTCATCGCAGAACTGCTCATCCTCAGATCTGTCTGTCTGGAAGTGGCTCAGGAAGTCCACGAGCTTGGTTTGGTTCTTCAGCAGGATGTCCATCACCGGCTGGGTCTTGTTGGGGTTTGCAACAAATACCTAAAAACAACAACATGGAGATATAAAATCATGTCTGCCAGGTTTCCTTCTACAGTTCAGTGCCAACATCAGCAGCTAACGCACAAGGATCAACTCTCCATCACGTGGTACTATTCAGTGTTCCTCTGCAGCTCTGAATAAACTCAAAGCATGACACAGCACAACTTTCTACAGTCTACACAAAATTAGCACAAAACACAGAAAAACTACTTCCGCACACATTTTGGCAAAACAGGTGAGAAAACTTGTCCCTCTTGGGAGCTCCACAGCTCAGCCAGTCTTCCCAGCAGGAACTGTAATGGGTCACAGAGAGTTGGACTGCACACGAGTGACGGGAGGTTTTCATATCTTCAGCACGTTTGGACCAAACGCTGTTTGACGACAGAACGTTCATCGTAACGATGAACTCTTCTTACGCCCAAAACTTCACAATTATTAGAGCTTGTACATCAAAATATAGGTTTTTAATCACACCCTCCCAGAGTGCAGCATCCCAACTCTCAATGACTTCCACAGAATCTGAACTCTGACTTTTTAAATCGAAAACTGGAACTAATGTTTTTTAAAACGCATCCTTTACAGAAAACACTGCAGACACACAAAAACTCATGTGATAACCACGCTTCATGAACTGTTCTCATAAGACTATATATTCAGGCCCAACTTTTACTCTGCCCGTCTTAAGACAGCTGTTGGGGAGTGAGAGACACAGGTGTATGGTTACTATGGCGACCCAGATGAGCCACTGGCTCCGGTGTTCTCTTTACCCTTCTAATACAGTTTACACATAAAAACATCTGCATTGTGTCAGCCCAGATTTCATATTCACACTGTTCCATATTTTACTAACAGAGCATGTCGCTCTCAGACTGCAGGTTTACTTGTGGTTCCTAGAGTTTCCAGCAGCAGAATGGGAGGAAGATCTTCCAGTTATCAGGCTCCTCTCTTGTGGAACCAACTTCCAGTTTCTGTCCGTGAGGCTGACACATTGTCCAGTTTGAAGACTTTACTTTTTCATAAATCCTATAGTTAGGGTCGACTTGTTATGCTGCTATAGACAGACTGCTGGAGGACAAAGTGACCTCATTTCCTCTCTCTGCTGCCGTCTTTACTTGCTCTACTCTGCCTGATTGTGTTTGTAATTATTAATATCTTGACATGTTTTTGTCTTCCCTCCTATAGAAACCTGGACCTGCCATTGTGCGTCTGTTTCTACTTCCTGTCCTCTCAAACCCAGGCGGTCGAAGCAGCTCGTCCTGAGCTGGTTCTGCTGGAGGTTCCTTCCTGTTAAAAGGAGTTTTTTCTTTCCACTGTCTCCTCTGTGCTTGCTCAGGATGGGAGACTGATGAAGTGAAGATTCAACTCAACCTGCTGCTTCTTTTGAAGACAACTTTACTAATTGTCTTTTATCATGTGTGAATGTTTGTGTTCAGTGCTCTGAGACCACTTCTGTTGTGTCTTGATGCTAAATAAATAAGCTGAATTGAATTAGATTATTACAGAATAAATGTTGAGATCATTGGCACCCTTTGAAATGTCTAACGTTCTAATTCAAGCTGGTACATGTGGACAACACCTCGTGTTCCTGTACAACCTTAAAGACGTGGAACGCTTCAAACTGGATGTTGCGACTGTTGTCTCTCAGCATGTTCATCATCAGTTTCAGGTTCTCGGCCCGACTGATGTACTTTGTCATGACGGTGAAGTTGTGTCGATCCAGAAGAAGCTCCCCGAGCAGCTGAACACAGAATCAGATCCACGTGAAGACGGTTAAAAAGCCAACGTGAGTTTAGAAATAAAACTTTGGTGTTAAGTCTCAAAACAGCAGAGTACCTTCAGAGACTGTCGTTTGGTGACGTAGTTGTCAGAATGCAGGAGTTTCTCGTACTCTGTAAAAACCTGGTGGGCGTTTCAAGAGTTTTTAGCACAGAAGAGTTTCAGTAAAAGGTGCATCCATCAGAAAACTCACCCGGTCGTAGTTGTTCTCCAAGAAATCTGCACACATAATCTTGTGTCTTGTGAGCAGATCCTGACGGGGGAGAAGAGATAACTAAGATTATAACTGCTGGGTGCAGCGAATAGACAGAAAAAAACAATGAGCACCTTGAACGAGGCGAAGGCGTCTGAGGCGATGTCGAAGGTCGAGAGCTCCACGTAGCGGAAGAAGCAGAAGAAGTCCTCGGAAAAGAGCACGGTCCTGGCCAGAGGCTCGTGACGCAGACACTCTCTCAGCATCATACCACAGTTCAGAGCCACCTCTGCACTCTCATATCTGCAGGTCAACACACAACAGGCCAACATCAACATGTACACACCAACAACATGTACACACCAACAACATGTACACATCAACAACATGTACACATCAACAACATGTACACATCAACATGTACACATCAACATGTACACATCAACATGTACACATCAACAACTGTACACATCAACATGTACACATCAACTGTACACATCAACTGTACACATCAACAACATGTACACATCAACATGTACACATCAACTGTACACATCAACTGTACACATCAACAACATGTACACATCAACATGTACACATCAACTGTACACATCAACATGTACACATCAACAACTATACACATCAACATGTACACATCAACATGTACACATCAACATGTACACATCAACATGTACACATCAACAACATGTACACACCAACAACATGTACACACCAACAACATGTACACACCAACAACATGTACACATCATCAACTGTACACATCATCAACTGTACACATCAACAACATGTACACATCAACAACATGTACACACCAACAACTGTACACACCAACAACTGTACACACCAACAACATGTACACATCAACAACATGTACACACCAACAACATGTACACATCAACAACATGTACACATCAACAACTGTACACATCAACAACTGTACACATCAACAACTGTACACATCAACAACAGTACACATCAACAACATGTACACATCAACAACATGTACACATCAACATGTACACATCAACATGTACACATCAACTGTACACATCAACAACTGTACACATCAACAACTGTACACATCAACAACATGTACACATCAACTGTACACATCAACAACATGTACACATCAACATGTACACATCAACATGTACACATCAACATGTACACATCAACTGTACACATCAACATGTACACATCAACAACTGTACACATCAACATGTACACATCAACAAGTACACATCAACAACATGTACACATCAACTGTACACATCAACTGTACACATCAACATGTACACATCAACATGTACACATCAAC